GATTGCAGGAAGTAGACATGAGCCATTTCCCTAGCAAGGCTCATCAAATGGACTGGAAATGTGAGGGAAAGGAATGTTGAGCACATGGGCTGGTTCAGAACTCACAGCTAGACACTGAAACCAGAACCACAGTTTGAGAATGGAAGCCGGAGTTGCTCTGTAACAGAAACACCAAGACCGTTTATTCATGCTCTCTGGCCCCTTTCATTGTTCCCCACAGTGTATTCTTTTGGAGTTTAAAGAAACCCTGAAGTAATAAAGACACAGCTAGTAATACTGGAAGCACCAGAAAAGCTCCACAGCCCCTCACTGCTGGGGAAGTGTCACAGTTAGGAAGGCTAACCAGAGGGAGCAAGTCATGACTATTTATTCCATTAGATGCCTGTCCAATCTTCCTGGAGCTTCACTTTGAAAAACATTGGCTGACTGAACAAAATGCTGAGCAACAGATTATCCATAAATACATTCCTAGAATTTACAGACCCCTTGTTTTAGTACTGTGCACAATTACCAAGAACATGGCCGATGAGAGTCAGGCTTAACATCAACTCCAATTCCATTAGAACAGGCAACATTTCATTTCAGAAACACAGACAAATATACATCGTCTGAATTGTCAGTGCAGTGCTATGACCCAGAGCCTTGTGCGCTGATCCTGTTACTCTAGTGAGCATATTAGCTTAGCTTTATGAGAATGTTTACTCAGGGTGTGTATTTTCCTTGCATAACATGGCAACGAGAACTATTCAGATTCTTTGTGCTGGATCTGTTAAGAGTAATAGACCTAATCACTGCAAGGCTAAACTAACCTAATTTTTGCTTTTCTGTTGAAATTAAAATGCCTTGTACTGTCTGTTCACTGTTTAATGCTAATCATTTTCTCAGCAAGATCAGCTCTTCCAGACATGCCACATAGCTCATAAGACCTAGCATACAAGAAAAAAAATTCTGATAGTTGACTAATCATAATCAAATACTAGGCATAATCTTAGTCCTACACATAGGGGCACAGCTACAATGCTGCTCCATGAATATGGCCCTGGAATCTTGCAGATCAAAAGCCTGAATATAGAGGAAAGTCATGCCCTAACTAAGAGGGAACGGACTTTCAGTCAGCAGAGCTACAGGAATTCTTGAGGTATTAACTCCAAGGCAAGGCTTTGGGCCATGATGACCTATATGATTCCTTCTGTTTATAGGAAAGCGATCCAAATGGGGAGAGAGAAAGGGAATCTGTGGGGAGAGGGATATACTACCATATTTAAATTTTTGTTTAAAGCACTAAATGTAAACAAAGCTCCTAGTGCCTGGTATGTTCTTTGCATGCTCCCAATACACAGAATTTTCCTTCAGTAAGCTTAAAATATGTATTTGAGTCAGTGTGTGTGGTGTGTGTGTGTGCTGGTACAGGTGTGTGAGTGGGTACATGCAGAGAACAGAATTCAACATTGGTGCTGTCCTCGCAATAGCTGTCAACCTTCTTTCTTGTCACAGGGCGTGTCACTGGGACCCAATAAGGCTCAATTTGTAGGATAGTGAGCTCTCGGGATCCTCTTGTCTCCACTCCTCCCAACCCCTGTCCCAGTATTGCATAAAATCAAGTGTGGTGTACATGCCTATCTCAGCTCTTGGGAGGTTGAGGCAGGAAAATAAGAAGGGGAGGGTCACCCTAGTTACACAATGAACTGAAGGTCAGCCTGGGATATGTGGAACTGTCTCAAAGACAGAAGGACAGAAGGGAGAGAGAGAGGAAGGAAAGAAGAAAGAAAGGGAGGGAGGGAAGATGGACACTATGCTAACAGAACTGAGACATATTCAAGTCCAGTGTTTTGTCCTTGATCATGAGCTGGTGTTAAAGACTTGGATTCAAAGGGCCATTCGAAAGTGCTCACTTCCAGACACCAAGGAAGGTCATCCTCACACTGAAGTCAGGCTGTCCTCATCCTGTTAAAGCTCAGGAAAACTATTCCACAAATAGAATAAGAATGGATTATGCCCAACATCACATCACTTTAATAACTTTCTGAGAGCATTGACAAATTTAATTTAGAAAAGATAAATTTGGACTCCAGCTCATAAAATTAAGAAAAATATTGTTCCTAATGTTCAAATTTCTTAAATTGCCAGTTCTATTTAGGTAAGTGATTTACTTGATGAACAAGGCAAGCCTTAGCATCTCTTTGCCTCCATCCTTCTCCATACCTCTCCTCTTCTCTCAAAGGAGCAAGCCTGCACTGACTCCAAGAGTCTGCACTGTTTTCTGTCTGTCATACTGAAGTGTCTCATAATGGTCACACTCGTTTGTACAAATGCTTCTATAGTTTCTGCTCTGTGCAGAGGGGCCACTCTCAACCACAGTTTTCCATACGGGGTGCCCTTGGGTGGCTGTCTATGGGGCGCACCTGAATGGTTGTTCTGTCGGGATAGAACTACATAAGAACAGGGAGCCTTGCTGCCCAGGCCCTCCAAGTTTATGGACAGGTGAAGTGCAGGCTCCAGCCCTTCTGTGCTTTGTGTTCTGGGGGGGGGGGGGAGAACTAGAAAATATTCCCAACACATGCAAAGGCCTGGGAGAAAAATGCAAAGGTTTGCAAATATCTCCTAATACTGGATCTCACATGTATCTTAACTTTCGTTAGTTCAGAATGCTTGTTTTTGCTAGTCCTCTGTGGCTGAGAACTTCTTTCAAGGTAGAATAATGATTCACTAAAAACAGATCCAAAGAAACATACTGAACAGGACGAATGCTTTTACATAAAAAAGATGTTTTTCATTGCTAACCAACTTATCAAAATCGACCTCACCATCTCTGTGCTGTCAGTCCCTGCAATGTTTCCAACAGGACAAAGGGTGTCTTATTTCCTTCCCACCTGGTTTTCCTGGGAAAGCAAGTCAAGTTCAAATGTGTGGTTTGCGTGCACATGGTTCCAATGCCCAGAACACTTCTCCCCAGTGGCACTAAATTCTAGGATTTTCCCTGAGTTAAAAATAATGTACTTGTGTATTTTCCTCCTTCCCCTCTTTCCATGAATATTGTATTTATGTCCATTCAGATTTCAACAAAACAGCTGTAACAAACAACTGTTTGTTGTTGTTTGCTTTCGTCCATTAGGAAGTGAAACAGGGCTATTATTTTGTTAATCTGCATCAGGGACAGATAAAGATGAAGATACCACTAACTGTGCTGAGGGTCAAGATCTCGCTTTCAGTCTCCACATCAGTTCCTATACCTAACTTGTATCCGGGAGATTAGTGTTGGCGGCTCTTGAGGATACAACAAGACATTTACTTGTTCGCTGGGCTAAATGAGGTGCTGTACAATTTGAAAACATGTCTTATGCAGCCTCATATTTCCACTCTTTCCTTAAGAACTGAGGTGTGTAAAGTAAGCTAAACACTATAGAAACTGTGCTGGTCTGAACCTCATCACCATCATCTTGGTCTCCATTACCTTCCTGTTCTGCATCTTTTCCTTGATTTATTTCTTGCTTTCATTAGCCTCAGTGACTCCCTTTGATGCTGCCTCAGGCTCTCCTTTAATGTAGTGTGCAGCCATGTCCTTTGCCTGGTTCTCCTTCCTTCAGGCTGCTGTCACTGGAACACTGTCAGTGGGTAGGCAGGCTGTGTGATGACATTCAGAACAGAGCAGGAAGGCCAGAAGAGGCCTGGTGGATGCTCTGGATCACTGAATTTCTGTCTTTACCATGTCTTCACACGTTTCCTCTTAGCAGCCATGGGCGCTCATCTCTTCCACTAAGAAGCTGAGAGAAGCATGTGGGTGCTGTTTTCCCTGCTCTCAGGCACCTCTGCACACAACAGTATTTGCCCCTGGGTTTCTGAGGGTCTCCTTGGCCTAGGTTTGGTTGCTTTTCCTCAGCTGAACATCCACTCCGTGCCTATCCGGTTATCACTGGTCCTGATATTGTCTCCACAGAGTCCAGGCTATAGCTATGGTGCCTTCTCCCTTGGGCACTTCTATGGACCTTGGTCTCCACTGAAGGCCAACAGAACTCCACTCAGTAAAGTCAGTCTAACCCCTGACTGCAGAGCAGTGGGCCAAGAATGTGTTGGGAGGGGAGGAATGTGGTAACATAGCCAGGGGTACAACAGAGGCAACCACCATGGTAGCCCTGGTTTTATGCTTCGAGGAACATTGTCTAGTCCTGGTGTATCCAATCTATGGCGTACACATGTCTCACGGCAGCTGTGAATGTGGCCCAACACATTTGTATGCTATCATCATGCCATACTGTCAACAAGTTGGACACACTTAGTAGTTCACCTCTGCCTTGGTTTTGTGATAATCCTTCCTTCAAGCTGACTCTGATCAGAACCTCTGCTAACAGAATATTCTGTCACCACTAATTTCTGCTCAGCATTGAATTGTTCCTAAATACCACTTGGCTGCTGCTGTCTTCTGATTGGACATTTTCTGAGGAAATAAAGTTAGGTTAAGAAGACACGATGTGAAAGCCTAGATTTGATTTTGACATCTCCAAGTGTCTTCTGGGCCTGGAGTCTTATAAAGAAAACAAATCTCTTATTTGCTCTGGTTAATTTGCTATCACAACACCCATAGTTGGAGAGTGCATTCCCCATCTGTACATCACCCACAGCAATTTCAGAGTGGCAAACATGTTTGTCCTGATGGTTACTGAATATTTAAAGAAGTACCATTTTCCCCAGGTCCCATTTTCCTCTGCACTCGTGACTAATATAATGTTATTATATGGTGAGAACTTGAATCTGACAATTTTCTATTCTGATAATTTCTTTCCATCATCTGACTTTATAATGGGAAAAACATGCATCCATTGTTACATAGGGAGATCAGGAGCTTTCAAATGCTTAAGAACAGAGGGTACCATGTTGGGTAAAATGCAAGAGTCAAACATCTAAGTCCCTTCTTTCAACAACGGGGAACAGGGTTTCAGAGGAAGACCGAGTACGAGATGAACGCCAAAGCTGTGATGTGCCAGACATGCACTTGCCCGCCTCACCTCTTATTCCTGTCTTCCAACTGTAGTGTGTACACCATGTCATCAGCAGCATGAGTCTTGGAGTTACTGTCTCCCCATTTTAGCTTCAGGCTCTGTGGACCAGATGCAGCACATTCTAGCCTAGGAGGCGAGGGTGGTAATGGCCGAGTTTTTGCTTTAATGAACTGACTAAATGGTCCAACTCCAATTTCATTGATGGCCTGAATTCTGATCCTAGAGGTAGGGAGAAAAGACAGCATAGGTTTAGGAAGTTGACTTTTCTGCATTCAAAACAAACATTTGTTAGTACATTTACTTCCTGTCCCTGAAGCAAGGCTGTGGAAAAGCAGCTAGAGTAAATGCTAGGCAGCTCAAAAGAGGCTCTATGCTCTGTTTCTAGACATAGCACAACAGTGCATTAGCAAGTGTTCCTTAAGATTTTAACTGGGTAAAAGCAAGTTTGCTGTCTGAAGGACTCCTGCAGGGCACGGTCTTACACTCTGGTCTAGCCACTGATGACTACCGCAAAGCCAGCATTGGGATTAGGCTATGCATAAAGAATTCATTTAAAGGTGAACAAATTCCCACCAATCTTTTAACAGGACATTTGGCCTCTCCCCTTACCAATGACTCTGCAAGTTCTTAGTCAGAGCCAAGAGATCACCTGCTGGTAGTAGCAGGGTGTCACTTGGGTGTATGATGCTTACCATGTACAGTAAAGATGTGTCAATCCTTCCAAAATCTAATAGAGTTATAATGGTACACAAAACCTTACATGATGTGGATACCATCCCTATTTTCCATTTTCTTCTACTTCTCAACTTGCTGACTAGACACAGTTTAAATATTGAAACTTGATTTGAATTCATAACATAGCTTTCCAAAACACATTTTAATAGAGAATATAGTCTAAGGAGAAATATTGGAGAACAGATCATTTGTACATATTCCTATGATTTAGTTACTTTATATTACACTTACAGCTTTGTTTGTTTGGCCTTTATTTTTAAAGCCAGGGTTTCTCTGTGTATCCCTGACTGTGCTGGTACTAGCTCTGTATACCAGGCTGGTCTTGAATTCATAAAGATCCACCTGCCTCTGCCTCCAGAGTGCTGGGATTAAAGGCATGTGCTACCACCTCTGGCTCTCACTTATCGTTTTTATTGCTTATAGTTAAATATAAAGTACTACTTAAACATCAGAGTATGAAACATAATGTGTGATGCCAACTCTTCAGACATAAAGAACATATATCCACCTAGCGTTATCTGTAACTGTCAGAAAAGAAAGGTTTCTTCTACTTGAAACAGAGCACAACACTCTACCCCTCTTAAGCATCTTGGGTCTCACACAGTTGCTTCAGGACTCAGAAGCCTTAATTACCATCTGGTAAACATCAGGAAGTACAAAGTTAGGCTTCTCATAAACCAGCAGTGGGTTTCTGTTTCCCTCCTTATCATTCTTGGGGCTGAACTAACCTTAGAAGTTGGCCTCTATGTGGAAAGAGCTGCAGAGAAAGACCAGTTCCAGGGTGTGTATGGCTCTGAATGGGGTAGGAAACCTCTTTTCTCTATTCCCCCATTTCCTAGGCCATAAGCAATTCTATCTTGCTTACAGCCTAATGAAGAAAATCATATCAACTGATAAAATATCTTACACAATCCAACCTCTAGCAGCAATCAAAATGCTCTGCAAACTAGGAGAAGGGATCCTCTTTGATCTGAAAAGGGTATCTAAGAAAAGGTCTGCAACTACCCCCGACAGCTGTGAGAGGGGAAATACTTTCCCTTTAAGACTGGGAGCAAGGGTCAGCAAGGCCATATCACAGCATGGATGCCTGGAGGGTTCACCCTCTTATTTAACAGCATTCCTTAGGAATACCAACTAGTACTGAGAGCAAAAGGTATAAAGAGTTAGAGAAAAAAAAAAAAAAAAAAAGAAAAGAAATGGCATCCACAAGATGCCAATGAAGATGTTACAGATAACCAACCCAAACAGAGAGGCTAGGGAAGTCACGGATGGGACACTTCACATAAAAGTGTCAGTTCTCCCAGAACTCACCTATATATAGACCCAATGTTAAAAATCAGTCCCAGCACTTGGGGAGTTGAAGCAGGAGAATGGAGCACTTAAGGTCAGCCCCAGCTACAGTGTAAGGCCTTGTCTCCAAAATTAAATGAATACATAAAAGAATAAAGTACAGATCCTGGCAGGATTCTTAGGAGATAAAGACAAGCTAATTCTAAAAGTTATATGGAAAGGAAGTAAACTAGCCAACACAAATGTGAAACACAGAGTAAATGTGGAAGGATAGTACCACCTGACTTTAGGACTCACTGTAAAGCTACAGTGACCAAGACAGTGTGGTAAAGAGACAGACACATAGATCAATGGGACAGGATAGAGGCGCCAGAAATAGACCTACACAAATATGGCCAATTGATTTCTGGCAAAGGTGTGAAGGCAGCTCAAGGGAGGATGGATAGTCTTTTCAACAAATGGTTCTGGGAGCAACTGGATGTCAACAGAAAAAAATAAAAACTTCAACTTAAACTTCACACCTGAAAAAGTATGAAACAAACAACCAACCACAGTTTAGCTTAAACAATGAACACAGACCTAAATGCAAAATATAAAACTTTAGAAGAAAATATAGAACATTGTCATTATCTAGAACTTGGAAAAGAGTTTTCGTATGTAACATAAAATGCATTTGTGTGACAAGAGAGAGAAAAGAAAATTAGGTTTTATTCAAATTAAATCTTCTTCCACACTAAGAGGATGAAGATGAGCTGGAGTCTGAGAGATGCACAGTGGACATCTGAGATAAGAGACCTCAGAGCTCACAGCAAGGTGGAGGATGTGGGTAGAGTACAGTACCACAGACTGCCCACTCTCTATCTACACACACACACACACACACACACACACACACACACACACACACACACACACACACACACGGTAACAAGAGGAGGGAAGAGAGGGGGAGGGAGGAAGAAAACATCAAGCAACACAAAACTGACGGAAGACTAGAACAGACAACAAAGAGGATACATAAGCAAGGAAATGTTCCATATTGGTCATCTGAAAAAACGTGAATCAAAACCATCAAGGTACTATTATAAATTTGTATGTCTATACATATATGTATGTGTATTTGTGTTCATATAAAATGTGTGCATGAATGAAACAATGCGATACACTGCTTCTTGAAAAGTTCAAATATAGGGACTGGAAAGATGGCTCAACAGTTAAGAGACAGATCTTCCAGAGGACCTGGATTTAATTCCCAGCACCCACATGGCAGCTCACAACTGTCTGTAACTCCAAGATCTGACACTATCACACAGACATACATGTAGGCAAAACACCAACACAAATAAAAATAAATAGATTGTAAAAAAGCAAAATCCAAACATACCAAACATTTATGCTCTTAGGTTTTTACTCCAGAGAAATCAACACCAATACTTCACATAGAAGCTTACCAGTTTTATTCACCACATATGCAACTAGATGAGGATTGTGGTACTGATGGGAGATGTCATTTTGTAAATATGTTTCTCTTATTTGTTAATGAATAAAGCACTGCTGGCCAATAGGAAAGCAAGATAGGCGGGACTAGGAGATGAGGATTCGAGGAGGGAGTAGGGAGGAGTCAACATATAGAGACTTGAGAGAACAGAGGTCTGGGCTCTCTCCAGTAAGATAAGACCACGTGGAAATACTTAGATTAATAGAAATTGGTTAATATTTAAGACAGAGCTAGTTGATAAGAAATTATTAACAGGCCAACAGAATTATATCTAATACAGTGTCTCTCTGTGTGTTAATTTGGGACTGGCACAGCTCTGGGACCAGGCTGGCAGGGAAAAACTACTCTTAACAGGACACAGCAAATCCTTATCCCCAGTAGATGACAGAAAGGCCACCAGCCATCATGAAGGGCCTTACTTTTCCTATTTGTAGTATACAAGGAGAAATCACCTAAATTTCTTTGCATCTCACAGGAGCCCTTAGAAAAGCTTCACAGTATTAGTGGCTGTCCCCTTCTCCACACTTAGGCCTGAAGTGCAACAAAGGCTTTTGCAACCAAAGAGGGGAAATCCTTGAAAAGCCATCATGCTGCTGGAAGCCATGATGACCTCTCTGTGCTCAGGAAGAGGAGGCAGACATTAAGCCCAGCTCTTCATCACTGCACAGTCTGTGAGATTTATCTGGAGGTCTTTGCAGTGCCCAAGCCATCACTTCTTCCCATTCATTTAGGACAGGGTTTATCTATAGTCCCTGGCCAAGACGCTGGCACAGTCATTCAGAGCTGAGCTCCCCATGTATCCCAGGAAGCCCTTTACCCTTTCTTGTGACCTGTGCAGCTTAGCAGTCTTTGGCACACAAAAGGCATTGGGTGGCTTAGAATGACAACAAAAACCTGAGAGATGAGAATCATTTATAAGAACAGAAAATAGCTTTAAAAATTCAAGTTTTAGATAGTTTGATTAAATTCATGCCTTCAGAGCCTCTATAGCAGTGGTTCTCAACCTGGGCCCAGGCCCCTTTGGCAGGATTAGATGGCCCTTTCATAGCAGTCACAAATCAGTTACCCTGCATATCAGATATCTACATTATGGTTCCTAACAGTACCCAAACTACAGTTATGAAGTGGCAATAATTGTGTTTGGGATGTTAAGGGGTGGCAGTGTTCGGAAGGGTGAGAATCACGCTCTATTGTTCTTTGGTGCATTCGGAGCGCCTCATGCCTTTACGCCTATGGCTTTCTCACTGCTTACATTTGCTGGCACCTAATCGTTCATCAGTGCCAGCAAGAATACCATGGTGGCATGTGATGTCCCCCGGTGACCATCAGTCACCAGCACCAGCAGGAACGCTGTGGTGACAGCTTCTTTGAGAACCTGCTCCTTCTTTTGCTCTTTAGAAGTCACCTAACACCGTTAAGCAATGGTTCCCTCCTCAGTAAACGAGGGTGGCGCCACTTCGCTGAACTGGCTAATGACTAATTAAGAAGAGAGGAATGGGGCATATGTCTTAATTTTCAATATCTTTCCATCTGATTTGTATTTGAAGTGGCCAAAAGCACACTGGTGAACTCCAAAGTGAGATTTTTTTTTTTGGAGTTCTCAACACAATGACTACAACAGCAGAAGCCTGGACTTTGTATCACGATGCCATGTGTCCTTCTAACTACAAGGCCAGAACCTTGGTCTGTTTGACAG